AACTGGTTTGTTGGTATTGTTTTTCTTCTTTCTTTCCTCTCTGGCCCTGTTTCCTGTGTTAAGTGTATTTGCTGGCTGCAGGTCTTTGTAATTAGCCGCCTGCAGACCACTAATGCCCCAGTAAAGATTCCTTTGTCACCTGTGTGCCTCTGTGCAGAGATTATTTCAGTTCCCCTAGTCGATGATAAAATACTGAGTACCAAAGTAACTTAAAGCTGGTCATGAAAAATTCTGCATTCTTTACAAAATTTTTCTGCCATGAAGAAATAAGGATTAAAATAACTAATGAATTACAAGAAAGTAGGCAACTCTGTGTACCTTTTTATTATACTAAAGTACTTCTGTAATAAAAATGTCTTGCTGTCCTTAAACCTAATAGGAATCTATCTATGTTTATATATAAATATATTTATATATGCTTATATATAAATAAATAGATATGTATAGATGACTTTAGCATAGTAAAGCAAATACATTACATTTCTTGAAAAGTCTCAGGAATCTGAGCTACAGAAGATGAGGTAAGTTATTAGGATGAAATTCACAAAAGCACTGAGTTTGAATATGGGGCTGGCTGGGTGATTACCAATGGTCAGTTGCTTTCTCTTAAGTATCATAAATGAGTTGTGCTTTACCTTTGAAACCACCTAAGAGGAAAGGCAGATTCTAGAATCGACATGAACTCTTCTAGACATTATCTTAAACATGGGGTTTGGGGAGAGGTATTGTTCACTAAGTGATCAGTTCTTGGAAGGGAAAAAAAACATTAGTGCTTTGGGAGTCACAAACACTTTAAATGTTTCTTCCTCCCTGGGAGACTTGGAGGGTTAATTTCAAAGCTTGGAAGCACGTGTGCAGTCTTCCCTGGGGGCTGGGGGTAGTTGGGTACATCTGGTTTTGATTGGTAATTAATCTGCGTCCCACCCTACCCTTCAGTAGAAGAACCCCCGCCCCCCACACACACCCTGAGCACAGAAAACCCCCGACAATCCTTCCTTAATTCTGGGGATGAAGGCGAGAGGATTGAATCACAGGACACTTCGCACAGGCATCCACGGGCAGCCTTCCCGAGATCCTGGACGCTAGGAGTGGAAGTTTCCTGGACCCCGGTGGAGAGACCACACCAAACCCCAGCGACCCAGCTGGACCCCGCGGGGAGCCCAGCAGCCCTGCCGCAGCTCTGCTTCAGGCACTCTCTCTTGTTAAGACAGGCGGGGATAGGAGGGGTCCCCGGACCCCTACTACCGCCAATAGCTTCCTGAGCACACTGGACCTGTTCCTGGCCCACCCAAGACATCAAGACCCAACAGGTACATGAGAAACACCCCCCCAAAAGGACCCTAGCCCACGGTAAACCCCTGTTTACACTGTATTTGATGTTGGTGCCCTGCATCTTGTATATACACTTCTCTAATCTGGGGAGGGGAAGGGAAAAAACAAAATGCTTAAATAGGGATATAGGTTGACCCATTGTAACAATGAGATGTACAAGAGACTATGTTGAAAATGAACTTTACAACTTCGACGGGGGCAGCTGGGGAGGTGGGGAGGGAAAGGGTGGTAGGGGGAAAACAAAGGAGGAGGCAACAATGCTCAATAGGAAATGGACTCATTACCCTGCTTAATGTAACTGTAACCCCTTTGTACCGCATTTGTACATTAAAAAAACATACCAATAAAAAAAAATAAAGGCCCCTAGCACGCCCACTGTTCAGCATGTCTTAGTGGGAGTTGCAGCTGGGAGGGAGAAGGTGGAAATAAAGGATGAGGCCCTGTCTTGTTTCTTATCACCTCCTATCTACAGGAACTGGACCTAAGCACCTGAAAAAAACCTCCCCCCACAAAAACAAAAAACAGAGGCAATAGATAACTCCCAAGATAGAGGGACAAATCCCTTGCCCCACTTTGAGAGCTTGGGAAGTGGCAGATAGTAGTAAGTGAGCAGCTTAGAATGATCATGGCTCACCATGATCTTCAAGAAAAAGCAGCTCAGAGGTCCAGAAGATATGTTGGGGAAATGCAGGTTCAGTGAGCCTTGGAGGGCCAGCAGTGGGCAAATAAGACCTTACTCCACCAGCCTGAGCTGTCTGACCTTACTTGCAGACTAGGGCAGACAGTGGGGACTGGCAGACAGCCAAAAACCCTTGGTGTACCCTCACCCAGTTGCCTTAAAAGCAAAGAGCCTTGATTGACTTTCACAATGAATCCTATCTTTTAAGTGTGCCCAGTGCAGCAGGATGCAGAAGCCATGTTTTGAAATACAGTGAACCTCTCTCTCAGGCCATTTTAGAATGTGACACTCCTTCACTTCCTCCACAGTGTTTCTCAACTAGAAACAAGTTATGGGATTTGAAAGTGACCCTTCCACCTATTTCTAATCAAGCAAATTCTTGGTACCTCTCAGGGATGGAATGGTGGCCAGAGAGAAAAGGCAGGCATAATTATTAGTCATTCTTTGTAGGAGTTAGACATTCTTCCCCAGGAGCCCTTGCATTGGCTCAACATGACCAGGCTTTGCACCCGGACCGCTTCCAAGCATCTGCAATCATCTGTCTTCAGCAGTCACCACCAAAGCTCTAGGTTCTTGAAAACCACAAGCACACATATTGGCAGCCTCCTCTAAAAATGTCAAATCGTGTGAGCTGCTGTTGGAGGGGTAGGAGGTGAGCTCTGATCACAGCCATTCCCACTGGCTGGGAAACTAGCCACTATTAGCAGAAGAACAAAAGGTGAGCCCCTGTTTGACCAACTCTGTTCCCTCAAAGGTAGAATCTTAAATAGTTCTAAATTATGCAGGGACAGACCATTACTTTCTCAACCAATGGTGAGTGAGGCATGCTGGAGAAAATGGTGAGCAAAGGGTTCAAAGGATCCATCAAGAATAGTAGACGTGGCAAGTGAGAAGAGTTTTCTGTCCGAAAGGAAGAACATAAGTACTCCTACCTGCAAGTCCTTTGACTTCAGTTGTAAATTTGAGTGTCCAATTTCACGGGTCATAGAGAGAACCTGTTTAAAGGTGAGAGATATATTTGTCCCTTTCAAGCCAGTGATGTTAGGCAAGGTATCTGGTTTGGTTTATCCCTGCATTCATTTCTTTTTTTTTCTTTTTTTTTGGGGGGGGGCGCTGTCCCTCAGCTCTTCAGCTCAAGGCTAGCGCTCTACCACTTGAGCTACAGCGCCACTTCTGGCTTATTTCTTTTTGCTTATGTGGTGCTGAGGACTCGAACCCAGGTCCTCAGGCATGCAAGGCAAGCACTCTACCACTGAGCCACCTTCCCAGCCCCCCTGCATTCATGTCTTGATTTGTATAAGTTGCCTGTCATAGGACAGTAAGATTCAGTGTGACATTAAAGAGAATACTCAGTAAATGGAAGCAACAGTGCAGATAGAAATTCCTTCCAAGGCCTCTTCCCTGCAGCCACCCATATCCACAGAAGACCTAAAAGCTCTCCACTGCATGAGACAAAGAATCCCTATTTCATTTGTTGTCTTCGTAAATTAGAACACTCAAGGTACAGATAGCCTCAAAGGTTACTAACAAACTTAAGTTCGACTTCGAGGTGCTTTGTTTTTCTTCTAATGGAGAACAATGATCCTGGGTGCCTGAAGGCTAAGAAAGCAGGTAGAGTTGTACTTTTAAAATCAGCTCAAAACTCCCTTTCTAGGAAGTTCCCTGCTGATGTTTGCCCTTTTCTTGTGGAACATCATGTTATCTTAATTGATTCTGGATACTTTGAAAACACACACACACACATGCGCGTGCGAGTGCGCGTGCACACACACATACACACACACACACACACCATGAGTTACGGTACCATGACTTTGAAATAATTTCTATCAGTTTCACTGATTACTTTTTTTGCTGACAATATAACTATTTATAAAATAAAACATAAGGGCTGGGAAGGTGGCTCAGTGGTAGAGTGCTTGCCTTGCATGCATGAGGCCCTGGGTTTGATTCTTCAGCACCACATAAGCAGAAAAAGCCAGAAATGGCGCTGTGGCTCAAGTGGTAGAGTGCTAGCCTTGAGCTGAAGAGCTGAGGGACAGCGCCCAGGCTCAGAGCTCAGGCCCCATGACTAGCAAAAAAATAAAATAAATAAAATAAAATAAAACATAAGCTAGGTGTTGCTTTGTTTTTCCAAGAATAGGTAGTGGGGACTATCTTTCTTTCTTTCTCTTTCTCTCTTTCTTTTTCTCTTTCTCTTTCTCCTTTGTTTCTTTTTCTCTTTCTCCTTCCTTCCTTCCTTCCTTCCTTTGCTTGTTTGTTTCTTTCTTTCTCTCTCTTTCCTTCATTCCTTCATTCCTTTGTTCCTTCTTTTGTTTTTGTTGGTCATGGGGTTTGAACTCTGGGCCTGGATGCTATCCCTCAGCTCTTTAGCTCAAGGCTAGTACTCTACCATTGAGACACAGCACCACTTCTCACAGATTTTCCTGTCTAGGCTGGCTTTGAACTACAATCCTCAGATCTCAGCCTCCTGAGTAGCTAGAATTACAGGTGTAAGCCACTGGAGCCCAGCTGGTGATTATCTTTTAAATCCCCAAAATGCTCCTAGAAATATGAAAATGTCCTAATTTAAAACTGAACTACTGTTGTTTGACTAGCTTAAAAAATTGCATGTGTGTGCATATAGGTGCACAAATGTGAACGTGTGTGTGTGTGTGTGTGTGTGTGTGTATGTGTGTGTTGGGTATCAACCTAAGATTAGGGACATGATAGGCAAGTACCGTGCCACTCACCTCCATTCCTAGCCATGATAAGCTGTTTTTCAGAATTGTTCATATTGAATACATTTTCCATACCTTGTTATTTCTGTGTACATTTTTTCTTTAAAATAATCCTTATAAATAATAATAATAATCGAGATGATTTTTATTGATTATGTTCTTCTCAAAAGACAGCAGAAAACTTAAATGGCTCATCAGTTGCAAAACCACAATAGTGTTGTAGGACACTAAGATCTTTTTTATGACCTCCAAAAAGAATTAGCTGTCTATTAATCAGTATTGGCTTCCTCACTGTTAAGTAATTCTAATTCTTCATTTAACCCTGTTTCATCGGAGCCTGTGGAAGTATCCATAACTGTTTTAGATTTTGACAATGTGCCTGATTTTTTCATTTCTGAGGAAGTGGTGCCCCAAAATGTGCTGCTGTCTGCGCTCTTAGAAAAAGATGTATCTGATACACCTTCAGATGGATGGAAGTAAGACATTGTGGCCAGCTCTGGGTTTATGGAGTAATGACTCTCTTCTCTTTTCTTACTGGAAAACAAGCAAACAAACAAACAAACAAACAAAAAGAGATCAAGAATTGTTTTTCACAGTACTGAATTTGTAGCAACTTAGAAAAGCATTGACAAAGCATAAACACATTCTTCCCAACATATTAGCTTAGGAGAGTTATATAAATGTTTTTCTTTCATTATAAATGTAATATATTTAATACTCAATGTGAGTGTATCACATTCTAAATCGCAGGTCTAGGATTTACTAAATTTACTAAAACAGTAAAGTTTGCTTTAATAAAGACATGAAACATGTAAAATGCAGTTGAGGGAAGAGGACTAAATACCTAGGATCAAGGTTTCAGTGAAATACACTATTCATCAAAAATATCAAACTCAAAACAAGTGATTTATTGCTAACTGTGAACATTAAGCAGTTCCACAAGGATATTTGAGAGCAAGCTGCTACACTGTTTGTTTTTCAGTGTTTAAATAAACAACCTCCTCACTCAGGTGTGAGTTGAATTTAATATTTCCATATAAAAGAACAAATGGATAGGCCTCCAGACGCCTATGTGGCAAGAGTAATCTGGTGTTTTTTGAAGGTCTCAGGGAAGGCTAGCATAGAATGGAAAACGTTAGACTCCAACACATGTGTTATTTAGAAAAGAGTATATAGTTGTGTGTGTGTTTGTGTGTGTGTGTGTGTGTAATTGTGCTGTTACTGGGGCTTGACCTCAGAAGGCCTGGGTATTCCCTCTTTATCCACTTGAGGCTGGTTGAGCTATACCTCAATGCTTAAATGGAGAAAAGAGTCTCATGGACTTTTCTGACTGGACTGGCTTCAAACCACAATTCTTTGCCTCCCGAGTAGTTAAGATTACAACATGAGCCACCCAACAAGAATATATAGTTTTGCTCCAAGTAGAGTGACACCCTCCCTGCCCCCCCGAAAAAAAAAACAAAAGAAAAAACACATGTAGATTCTCTAACCTGTCTCAATTTATAATGATTATTTCTATATCTAAATTACTGAAATATTGAGAGCAAATCCAAATAAGATAATTCTTTGAGAGATACTCCTCTAAGGAGGAGCAATGGAATTAAAACTAAGAAGCCAGGGGCTGGGAAGGTAGTTCAGCGGTAGAGTGCATGCCTTGCAAGCGTGAGGCTCTGGGTTCGATTCCTCAGCACCACATAAACAGAAAAAGCCGGAAGTGGCGCTGTGGCTCCAGTGGTAGAGCACTAGCCTTGAGCTGAAGAGCTGAGGGACAGGGCCCAGACCCAGAGTTCAGGCCCCATGACCAGCAAAAAACAAACAAACAAAAACTAAGGAGCCGATGGATACAATGATTTGAGAGGGGTCACGTTTTGCTAAGAATGTGCTAAAGCAGGAAAAAATTTTGATACCACAAATGATAAAGACTGCACAGATGAGCCGCCAGCTTACCTCAGTTGCCTTAGTCTGCAGAGCGTGGCAAAACAGAAGATCAAGAGAGGGACTAAAAGGATCAGAGTCATCAGTGTGATGCCCAGCATTAATTTGACCTTGATTTCCTCTAGCTCTGACAGTTTGTCTCCACTTGTAGAATTCAAATCAGAGCCTGAGAGGAAAGAAAAAAAAAATGCAATGAAAGGCCGGGTGTCAGACATGGGTCCCTGGAGGAGTGAGGATGATTGGCAAGGGCAGAGAGTTCCCCACTGTTCATCCTCCCCTGCCCCATTCACTGCAATGTGGAAGGCCATTTCCAGGGGCTGAGTTCTCTGTTGTTCTCCTTAACCTTCCTAGCAAGGAAGGAGCTGTCCTAAGCAACTTTTGGTGGGATCATGTTGGCTAATAAATATCCCCCACACATGGCTTAGTCACTAGCGAAATCTAGTTTAAAACCGACATGACCAAACTCTATAGGTAGCAGGCTTTTCCCCTAACTTTATTAGAAAGCACTTTACCCATGGTCACCAAAGAGATTGCTATTCAAGTGATTGACTTACAGGGAACTAGTCCTTAGGGAGAGAAAGGGGTGTTTCAATTGTTGGCCATAGTTTGATTTTCTTTTACACTAAAAAGATGCTGTACTGGAGGCTTTCTTCATAAGTCATAAGAACTACAGTCACCATTTTGTTACTGAGATTAAACCTAGTGCACTCAACATTAATAAAACAGAAACATTTTTTTAACTTTCTGAAATACATGAAATTATAAAATAATGCCTGGTTCCAAAGACATCAAGAATCATAATCAAATCTACTAATGGAAATGCCTCTTTGCCACCAGATTTTGCTTTCCTGACTATAAATATGACTTAATGAAATTTAGATGACCACATGGTCAATTTTTCCCATTCTCGAGTTTCCTCCACATCCACTTCAAATGTTCCATAGATCTTTATTCCTTTGTAGGAAAATAAGCAGTGACTTTTAAAATTTGGAATTCTCACAGAACACCTGTGGCTCATGCCTGTAATCCTAGCTACTCGGGAGGCTGAGATCTGAAGATTGTGGTTCAAAGCTAGTCTGGGCAGGAAAGTCTGTGAGACTCTTATCTCCAATAAACTACACAAAGAGCCAGAAGTGGATCTGTGGCTCAAGTGGTAGAACATTAGCCTTCAGCACAAAAGCTCAGGGACAGTGCCCAGACCCAGATTTCAAGTCCCAAGACTGCTCCACCCCAATAGAGAGAGGGGGGGGATTGTTAAAATGTGGTCTTGAGACCAAATGGGATGAAGTAAGCATAGTTGTCAATAACTAATATCTGTTGTACAGTTATACAGACTAGTATACAGGTTGTTATGTAGACTGGTATACTGCTGTCAATGACTGTTATCAAGCAATTTATGTTAAAATAGACTGTTCTCCTAAATTGATTTTCTATCTTCCCAAGGGATCTTTTCAAAGAGGTGTGCTCTAGGTATAGTTATCAAAGTCATGGTCAGAATCAAAGAAGAGTTTGGAACTCCTAATCACTAGAAGTGCACAAAAGTTAATTAATTGGGCAGGTTTTTGCTCTAAGACTGAGTTTCTTTATCTGTAAAATTGAGATAACCAAGTCCATAGAGTTGCTGTGAGAATTAACAAAATATGATAGTAACATAGCAGAATTTGGTGTGTAGTATCTGCTCAATAAGTGATAGAAAAATCAGTGAAGCCAAATTTAATTGCTGAAATCTCAGAAACATAGCAAAGTATTTCTAAAATAACCTAATATTTATCATTCCCATATACAACTTTCCTAAACAAAAGGTTACTTAATTGTCTTGAAGCACCACAAGACAAATTGTTATACAAATAATCCAGTATAAAACTAGGCTGACAGGTCTTAGACATATCACTTGACGTATCTATTTCTTTTCTGTTCTGTCCTTTCCTTTCCTTTCCCTTCTTTCCTTCAAACTTTCCTTCCAACCTCCCTTCCCTTCCCTTCCCTTTCTCCAATCCTGGGGCTTGAATTCTGGATTCAGGTGCTGTCCCGAAACCTCTTTTTGCTTAAGGTCAGCGCTATACTACTTGAGCCATAGCACCGCTTCCAGCCTTTTTTCAGTAGGTTTTTTTTCTTTTTTGAGATAAGAGTCTTATGGGCTTACCTGCCTGGTCTGGCTTTGAACCACAATAATCAAATCTCAGCCTCTTGAGTAGCTAGGGTTACAGGTATAAGCCACTGGTGCTGGCCCTTAATAATCTATTTTTTTCCAATTATTTACTTATACAGGAGTTTGGGGAGAAATCAGTCCATTGTCTTTTCATGCAATTTCTCAATCAAATGAGTTCTTTTATAAATACAATTAATCCATTAATGAAAGCTGTATTTGGAAAAAGGAATTTTCACTCATTACTAGTGAGAATACAAAACATTACAATCATTTTGGGAAGACAAGTTTGGTAGCTTCTTACAAAGCTCAAGTCTCACCATACAACATGGTCATTGCATTCCAAGGTATTTACCCAAATGAGCTGAAAACTTTTGTCGTCACAAAAACCTGCACACAAATGTTTATAAAAGCTTTATTTATGATTGTCAACAATAGCTAGCAAGGAAGATATCCTTGGAAAAGCTAATAAACAGGAACCTGCTCATACAAAGGAATGTCAATGACAGAAAGAAATGAGTAAGCCAAGTCATCAAAAAAGACATGGAGGAACCTTAAATGCATACTGCGAAGTGGGAAAAAATGACCATATAAAAAAAGACCATGTGGTAATCTGCAAAAGGCAGGGGAGAGAACAATGCAAGGATAAATTTATGGAGGCGATAGGACTCAAACAGTGAAATTTTAATGACATTGTGACGAGAGGTAGGTGATTATGCTTTTGTCAGAACCTTATAGCTGAGCACTGGTGGCTCACACCTGTAATCCTAGCTACTCAACAGGCTGAGATCTGAGGATTGCAGAAGCCATATTGGGCAGGAAAATTAATGAGACTCTTTAACTAAGCATAAACACATCAAAAAAACCCCACATTTTTTAAAGAAAGCTGGAAGTGGAGCTGTGGCTCAAGTGGTAAAGTGCTAGCCTTGAGCACTAAGTTCAGGGACAATGTCCAAGCTTTGAGTTCAAGCCCAGGATCAACACCGAAATTAGATAAACAAACAAACAAACCCTATAGAACTGTACAGTACAAAGTGAGCCCTAATGTCTACAGATCCTACTTCATAGCAATGTGTCTATACTTGTTCAGATATCTTAACAAAGGCACCACAGCAATGAAGACGATACTAGCAAGGGAAGTGAAGAAGAGATGGGATTTAGGAACTCTGTGCTATCTTGCTAAGTTTTTCTTTCAACCTGAAACTCCTCTAAAAGTTAAAAAAAATGTGCACTCTATAGATTATGCACCCACCCACTGCCTTGTTTCTTTAATCAGTTTCAGGAATAGACACCATGAAAGAGGAGAATGGTACTAGTCTTTGGCAAAAGGATAACTGGAAAACCCTCCTGAAACAGCCCCCCCATCTTCTCTTCTCCCGTATTAGCCACCCCACTCCCTCCTACAGCTGCCACTTCATGAGGGCTAAAATGTCTAAGACCTTTATGTATCTATTAGTTAAAAAGTACTTTTTGCTTACTTGGAATTGGTTGAAATAACTCATCTTTATCATCCATGCTCACCGTTGTCCCATTTATAGCTGTTAAGACAATAAATTTGTGTTATGGTAAATAGCATTCACTGGATGGAAGTATTGTGTGGGTAATATGTGCCACATATCCTTATTATGTGTGTGAGGTATGTTGTAGAAAGTACACCTTGCTATAATTAGTGTCTAAACAAATTTTATTTTTGGGGTCCGGTCATGGGGCCTGAACTCTGGGCCTGGGCGCTGTCCCTCAGCTCTTCAGCTCAAGGCTAGCACTCTACCACTTGAGCCACAGCGCCACTTCTGGTTTTTTTCTTTTTGCTTATGTGGTGCTGAGGAATTGAACCCAGGGCCTCATGCATGCAAGGCAAACACTCTACCACTGAGCCACCTTCCCAGCCCTCTAAACAAATTTTAACATGTGTTTTTTGCACAAGACACATCACAGCCTTATGGCATTTAGGACATGAACTAGCAATTTAACACTACAGTAGAAGGCTAGCTCAGAATATGGCTGATCATATGTATCAGGCTATTAAAAATATTTGAAGCTGTAATAAAATAGTCTATAATGTCCAAAAAGGACTTGAAGGTGCTGCAAGTATTGATTTGGGGGTCGTACAGAATACAAATACAAATATAGATATAAACACAAATATAGAATATCAAATAATGAGATTGATTAAGTATGACATCTATTTTGCACTTATAATGCATATGTATGTAATACTCATATGACAGCTATCTATACCTCTGTATGTACATGACTAATGTGTATGTGTACCTTGGTATATATGCACATTGCACTGTACATGTGTGCCTATATCATATTTTATATACACACTAATTTTTCACATTCATGTGTTTTAATATATCTTCACATTTATACATGCATGTTTATGTGTTTACATGCACACTGCTCTAAATACAAAGATGGAGTATACTGGGCAAGAGGCTTACTTTATAATTGTAATGATCAACTAAATTGAACTATTTTCAAATTTGATTTGTCTGTTTCAAAAATAGAAGCTATAAAATGAGAAGATGATAACAGCAACTAGAGAGTATTTAGCCACTGTAACTCCCATGGGAGTAAATGTCTGTGACAATGTCTTCTCTAGATTTTAACAGCCATAGGACATAGGATCTTCAGAAACAGTGTGACTTTATCACCTTTCTGAGTCAGTACTGAATTTTCTTTAAAATTTATCACATTATTTTTAAGTACTTGTACAAAGGGGTTTAAATTCACTACTATCACTGCATGAGTACAGCAGATCTTGATCAGTGTCACTGCTTCTTCCCTATGGCATGTTCTATTACATATGACAGCAAAAATCAATACTGATTCTTAATATTACAAGTATTTATATATCAAACTTGGCTTTCTAATATAAGATTGTGGAAAACCAAAACATTCCCCCAGCTAACCTCTCTATATGAATTTACCTTTAACTAACATTGTCCAAAATGCAGGAACATTTGGGGTTGTTTCTGTTAAAAAAAAAAAGACAATAACAACAGGAATGACAGGTTAAGAATCTATTGGCTTAAAGCATTTATTCAAGAGCTTAGAGGTGAACATCATGGGTTGTTATGACTTCACAAATATTTTATAAGGCATGATATTCTTGACAGAAAACTAAAATGGTGATTTATTAATTTTGTAGCCACCCCCTGTCCCTCAAATAATATTAGGAAACATTCATGATTGTCACCAGAAACATTTATTCCTCAAACACATTGAACTTTTTACATTATTATTAAAATAAGTTATAGTAAACATACACTCAATGTATTTATATTTGCATAAACACATGCTTATACATACTACACAGTACAAAGTGAACCTTAGTGTTTATGGAGCCTAGCACACAATAATGTATCTATACTGGTTCAGAAATTTTAACAAAGATGCAACAGTAATAAAGACATTACTAGAAGGGGAAATGGAGCATGGAGACAGGATTTAGGAACTCTATTCTTTCTTCTAATTTCTTCTTTTTATTTGTACAATCCATACTAAAAATAATATATAATCAACAGAAATAGACATTTGCATTTCTTTGTGTAAACCTTTTCATATATTTATATAAATACAAATATATTTATAAAGAGGTATTTTTATAGAGACATACATGCGATGCATTTTATTAAAATAAATAAAATTTCTAAGGATCCACTCCTACCCTTCATCAGGTGCATCTGAGAACTATTAGCTAGTCACCATTTATTTCAAATGGTTTAGAGTAAATTTAAAATTAGCAGTATAAATTCTTTCCGCATGCTATTTCCTTGATGTAACATTCAGGGCAGTGAAACTTAAGTTCATAAGTCATATAATGATATGCTCCAGATATTAATACACTGTAGTAACTTTAATACTTGGAATTGTCTCGGGTTCATTAGGTGGTTCTTCGCTTGTAGTTTCTTGAGATGATGTTGTTGCATTGACGACTTTGTCTAGGAAAAAGGACAAAGAATTATCAGCATATAAAAATATTGACTACATATCTGTGATTAGGCCTATTTTTTAAGCCTGAAATGGAATAAAGACAAGGAGAAGTGAAAGAAAAAGACATAAACATTTTCCCAAACTAAGACAGGGAAAGAAGAGACATTGAAGAAGAAGATTGTGGGGCGGGGAGGAGGCTGGGGGGCGCACAATGCCTGTGGTTTATGAAAAGAGGAAGAACGTAGAACTTGGAGCCACGCTCTTCCTTCCTTTAGGGGGAAGGGTGGCCTATTGGCAGACAAGGCTGGCTTTCAGGGTTCACTGCACAACTGGAAATGATGCTTGTAACACGGAGCAGTTGGTCACTGGTCAGGGTGACATGGAAAAGGCATGCGTGTCCTTGTAAATTGGGAAGCAATATTTCAAATATCAAGATGTTGGAGCACACAGCAAGGAATTAGGGGCCTAATTTAGAACATGCTACTGTCTATCACATGTTCATCTGTCTTTGACAAACGTCAAAGGGCAGGGCTTGACTTGTGGGAATATGTATTAGAGGTTGGAATCTCTTCCTGTAGTCTTCATATCCTAAACTAATTGGAGGTGCTTGATTTAGAGTTATATTTTGTTTGGTACAACTCAAGATGTTGATTGCTGAATACAGTACAATCCCATGAAGGATTATCCAAAATCAATATTTCCCTGATATAACTATTTCAGGGTTTGGAATAGCTAACATTATTTTATTATTGCCAAGTAATTTTTATGAATAATTAGGCATGAATGAGTCTAGCCTGTCCTATACGTTCTTTCTTTGTTGTTTAAGGATTTGGAAGGCAAAACACAGAAAGGTGCAAAAATGAGGGTAGAAGAAACATAAATAATTCCCAAGAGTCCTAAACTGCATTATTTTTCTTCCCATGCAAAGAAAAAACATAAGATGCTTAAGCTAGACACTGGTGACTTATGCCTATAAATTTAGCTACTCAGGAGGATGAGCTATGAGGATCAAGGTTCAAAGCCAGCCTGGCAGAGAAGTCCAAAAATGTTAATCTCAATTAATCATCAAGAAGGCAGAAATGGAGGTGTGGCTGAAGTGGTAGGGCACAGCTTTAAGTGAAAAAGCCAAGTGAGAACAAGAGGCCCCAAATTCAAGCCCTGATACTAGCACAGAAAAGAAAAGAAAGGAAAAGAGAAAGTGGGTTGGCAATATGTGGATTTCCTGACCTCCGAAATGACTTGTGCAATGGACATGGTACCTCACAGGTGTCATCTAGGAAAAATATGTAGAAGATAACCAAGAACTCAATTAGATCCCCAAATCATTACATCTACTGGAGGGGGAAATGTTGAGATTTGTCTGGGAATGAAGACTTCTTTCCTACCCAATGCCTTTCAGTGTTGTTTCAAATCCTGCGTTCAGTACTTACAGTTCTTTAGCGCGAATCTCAGATCAGTGGTGGCCCTCACAGATATTTCAGATTCAGTACCATTTGGATTTCGTGTGGTGAAAACATCTGAAAATACAAAGTCAAAAGGCATCAGCTACCAACTAGCTAAGTTATTTCTTGATCAACCCATTTTCCCTTGTGTATCAACTTACTAGCTAAAAGCAAAAGAATTATAAAAATGAGTAATGTTTTAAAAATAAGAAAATGAGTCAAAAGTGAATAAAAAAATTCACAAGGAGAAAGGTCAAATCAAGATGCTTATGATAAATGACCTGAGAAGCCATTATGGAGGAAATTCATGAAGAATGTACAAGTATATAAGACATCAAAGCACATTTATAGATGTGCAATTTATAGACATTGGATTGGCATTATCCAAAAACTCCCAAGGCATTTGACAAAATGTTCCCATACAGGTACTCACATTTATACATACACATGAAGATCTTGCTCCTCAAGAGGCATCTGTCAGGTTGGCTGTAATTTAAAACTAGTGGATATAGTCACCTACCCAAAGGGTGAAATAACAATTGAGTGGAGCTGGCAGACTAAGCTTAAACATGCATCTCTGTCTCTTCCATCAAATTCTCATGGAATGACAGAAATTATATGTACACATGAATGTGTGTATGTTTAAAACTGACAAATGCATTCATCTCTCCCAACACACACCAACAAAAAGTTGAATGTCTTATTCTTTTTGAGGAATTCTTGTGATAGTTCTAAGGAAAAATAAAACAAAATGAAGTTACAGCCCATGATTTAATGTGATGTGAATTAAGAAAATGTATACTATGTTGGAAATGAATTTTACAACTTGGCGGGGAGGGATAGTGGGAGAAAACAAGGAAGGGGGTAACAATGTTCAACAAGAATTGTACTCATTTCCTTATGTAAATGTAATCCATCTGTACATCATATTTACAATAAAAAGAAAATGTAAACATTAAAATATGTGATATTTTTGTAGCAACAGACATGATAATAAAAAAGAACTATCAAAGTATAACTGACCCAATTTGGATTATATTAAATGTAAGAATCACATAACTAGATAACCAGTGTACCAGTGTTAGACAGTTAGCTTTCTTCTTTGAAAAATATAGTGCTTTATACAAATTTTATGCCAAAAACCAGAATAAGATTTATGACCTAAGAGAAAAATAGGATATTGTTAGGAAATGTTGGAAAAGCAATTTAGTATTTTGGATTGAATAAGTCCTGTCTAAGCAAGATACAATCGGTAAAAAATCTGAAGGAATTCATCAACAGAATTGGTTTTTATAAAACTTGAAAACTTTCTTAGGATTAAAGATACTTGAACTGGTTTAAAGTAACAGTCTAGGAGAAAATCTCTAATACTATTAATCACAGGAAAAAGATTAATGTACTATATATAAAAAGCCTTTGCAAATCAACAAAAGTGTGATCTAATAAAAATGGGAAAAGAATATGAATAGGTAAGTCATGGAAAAATGAATAAAAATATAAAGAAAATTTTAAAAAATCACAATTAGAATGCAAGTGAATAAATCACATTTATAAATTATATTATATTGTTATATAGTTATTGTTGATATTCACTGTAAGTGAAATAGTGGTATATCCTTTGGGGATAAATAGGTAAGTAGTTTTTGGAGGGCTATTTGGTGTTATCTATCAATAATTCAAAAGGTTTATATTTTATCCAACAATTTCAATACTTTTATTCTAAATAGAGATACATGTACATGGGAAGAATGTACAGGAAAAATATTAAAGCAGATGTGAAAAGCATTCTACAGTTATTAAATGAAAAAGACAAATCCTTATGATGACCACTTCATGTTATACACACATAAAATTTAGCAGGGATTTTTTAAAAATCAAAGTAATTAGCAATCACTTTACTTATTGATCTCCTGTGTAATACAGAATAGAGATACATACTAAATGGAACATGATTTGTAGAGCCGAGCATCAGTCAGTTTCATATCATCCTACCTTTGCATCCTGGTAACTATTGAACTTCTCTAAGCACTAGGGATGGCCATCTAAAAATCAAGGATATAAAGCAGGATGCTGGTAGTGCATGCCTGTAATCTTACCTTCTCAAGAGCTGAGATCTGAGGATCTGAGGTATGAAGCCAACCTGGGCAGGAAAGTTTGTGAGACTCATCTCCAATTAACCACCAAAAAGCCAGAAGTGGTCAAGTGATAGAACTAGACTTGACCAAAAAAGCTCAGGGACAATACCGACACACACACACACACACACACACACACACACACACACACACACACACACACAGAGGTGTAGATATGGATTCATCAAAGTAAAACCAGAAGTACAATTTATAATTATAGTTTTCATTTGAGTTATACATCATTGTCACTTTTCTTTTTTAAAAAATATTAATGTTAATAATAATCCCAGGATAGTTAAATTTAATCCTCCCTTTAAAAAATACTAGGATTTAACCCTGAGCTTTATGCCTGCCAGGCAAAACTTTAATACTGAACTTTAATTAATTAATTAATTTTTTGTGCCAGTACTGGGACATGCTTTTGCATAGCATTTTTGCTCAAGGCTGGTGCCCTGTCACTTGAACCACAACTCTATTTCTGGCTTTTTGCTTACCAATTTAAGATAAGAGTTTCTTGGACTTACCTGCCTAGGCTGACTTCAAATTGCAATCTTAAAATCTTAACCTGCTAAGTAGCTAGGGTTACAGGTGTGAACTACTAGTTCCTGGCTGTTTTTTTATTTTTATAAATGTTTTTTCTAAGCTCTTCACCTTTTTGAATGGCATACCTTGTAAGGAAGACTTGGAGGGAGGTCCATGAGGAATGACAGGTTATAGACTAAATTTTAATGGAACCTTCCAATTGTGGAGAAGTCGCTTTGTTATTGGTTGAATTGTGTCCATGCCCAAAATTCTTATGTTGAAGTCCTCCCTCAGTATGTCAGAATGTGACAACATTTGGAAACAGGTTTGTCCACTTCATAATTAAGATACAGCTAATCCTAGAACACAGCGCTGTGAATGCCTAATGTCCTTGTTGGAAATCTAGACCCAGAGAGACAGAGACAGTACCATGTGAAGAGAGAGAGGCAGAGACTGAAATGAAGCAGCCCCAGCTGGAAACACCTGTGCTGACAGGCCTGGCAGAAACAAAAGGAAGCCTTCCTCACTGGCTTTCCGGAGGGCCTTCACTTGATTGGCTCAAACTCTAATTTTTGGACTTCCAGCATCCAGAATGATGGAGGAATAGATTTCCGCTGTTTCAAGCCACCTAATTTGAGATAGTTTCAAAAGCCTTAAGAAACTGATGTTTTGTGTTTGTTTTTGTTTTTTTGAGGCCAGGCATGTTGGCTCACACCTGTCATCTCAGGTACTTGGGGAGGTAGAGGTCAGGAGGATCTTGATTCCAGGACAGCCTAAACAAGATTAGTTAGACCCTATCTCAATTAATAAGCTTGATGCAGTGGCATAGACCTGTGATCCCACCATAGGTGGGACACATAGCTCCCATCAGAAAGAGTGACACCACCCCATTTGTAAGGAAACAGAAAGACTTAGAAAAAATCATATTAAGTGAGGTAAGCCAGCCCCCACCCCAAATATAGGTCCCATGGTTTCCCTTATTTGCAATAATTAGTATAAATCTAGGATAATCTTATCAGATGAGCAGAAAAGCTCAAAAGCTAGGTACATGTGACCACATAAGATGATGCTAAGTGAAATCAACCCCAACACATGGACACAAGAGGTTTTTATTTGTCATTGTTGTTTTTAATGTATTATCTGATTTTTTTCTTTTGTATGTTCTTCCCCCTTTGGTATATCCCCTGTTGTCATTGTATTTGATTTTGATACCCTGCATCATATATAATATACACACACACACACACACACACACACACACACACACACACACACACACACACACACACACACACACACATTTGGGGAGGGGAAAAGAAGATCATAATTCCAGATGTCCTGAGCAGAAAATGAGATGCTGTCTCAGAAATAACCACAAGCAAAAAGGGCCAGAGGTGTGTCCAGGGGTGGGAAAGTTTTTTTGTTTTTGTATTTTGTTTTGTAAAGAACCATTTAGATATTTAGAAAATAATTCATGGGCCATACAAAATTATCCTGGACAGGTGATAAAAAGAATGTATGTCTGTTCTGTCATGTACCAAATAGTTTCTCTGGCCTTCTGTGACTCTTCAACTGGACATTTTCTACCCTTGGTAAGTTCAAACCCCAGTAAAATAAATAAATACATAAATAAGTTTTAAAAAAGTAGGCAGGCTTTTGTTCTAGCTACTTCACAAACTAAAGAAAAAATGTGTTTTCAGCCTCTGAGATCCAAAGTTAAGGTATGGGAAGACCTATTTCATTTAATTTTGCAAATATGTCTTATAAAATTCTATGAAGCTAGCTTTAGTTGAATCCAGGGAACAATATAACTGACTTGGGACATGAATGCTCCATGTGCTTGGTACATGAATGCTCCCTCAGTGCTAATCAATAGTAGCAGATAATTTTATAAGATGATGAATATATTATATGTGCTATAATACATATAATAAGAATTATATATTATATATAATACATATAATAAGAATTGATAAGATTTAAGAAAATAATTACAAGAAAGTAATATTAACTCTGCATTTGAACTCCAGTACTTTTGAAAACTAACAAAAATAAAACAACACCAATTTTTTTTTGTTAACTCACTCAAAATAGACCAACTTTTACTAGTATAATCACCATGCTGTGATGACCGTAGTAATTAGAAATAGCTCCTAAGAAAACCTGGCTAAACTTTAGAAATGTCTCCTGAAAAAAGTTTTAGAAAACAAGAATTTCATTTTATACAATGATAAGTCTATAAAATAAATTATAATTTTAAATGGAAATAAAATGGTTATGGGAGAGTATAAAAGACAATTGAGATCTATCCAACCAATACAATCAGCTTTTTGTATCAATATTTTTACATATTGCTGTTAACTTGAAAAACTTACATTGTTTGGTATCTTTGTAATGATTGTCAGTTTTGTGATTTGCAGATGTGTGATCCGGATACGTGTATTCTATTTTGTGGATTAAGTTATTATCCATGTTGATTTCATCTTCAGGTATACCAGAATCGTGTAGAGTAGGATCGTGTACAGTAGGATCGTGTACAGTAGGATCAGTAGCCGGATTATCAGGACTGTCATCATCGTGATAATATGGATAGTCCTCTGGAGACACTGCCTCAGGTATCTCTTAAAAAATTAGGATACACCTTGCATCAGAAATGTTACCTTTACTACCTTTTCTACCTGAACTTTTCTCCCAATTTGAGGCTGAGATTTAAAATCTAAATGGATACCATATCTCCAACAACATATTTCTTTCTTTCTTTCCTTCCTTCCCTTTCCCCTCCCCCTCCCTCCCTCCCTCTCTCCCTATCTCCTTTCTTTCTTTTCTTTCTTTCTTTCTCTCTTTCTTCCTGTCTTTCTTTTTCTTTCTTTCTTTCCTTTCTCTCTCTCTCCCTTCCTTCCTAACTTCCTTTATCCTTTCTTTCTCTCTTTTTTCTTCTTCTCTTCTTTCCTTTTTCAGTACTGGGGCTTGAAACACATGGTCTGGGTGCTCTCCCTGAGCTTTTTATGCACAAAACTAACACTCCATCACTTGAGCACAACTCCACTTTCTTCTTTTTTGGGTGGTTAATTGGAGATAAGAGTCTTATGGACTTTCCTGCCCAGGCTGGCTTCTAACCATGATCCTCAGATCTCAGCCTCCTGAGTAGCTAGGCTTACTGGCATGAGTCAGCAGTGCCCAGGCAAATAGACTTTCAATCATTTTGTAGAAAATTCACACATCATTTGTATGTACTGTTTCTTGGAAGTTAAAGTGCTTACCGTCTGTCTGGGTCTTCAAATTGTTAATCTCTGGAAGGAAAACCCCAGATAAAAAAATAAATAATATAAAATTCATTTGGAAATTAATGTGATTTATCCAGTAATATAATAATACAATGTCTCCTCAGGGCTTCCTTCTTGTGGTCCAGTAGGTCCTGAGATGAGCACATTATGACATCACTTCCTGTGGGAAGCAGAATGCCAGGGAGATCCCCCAGGGCTTTGTGACTTCTTCAAGATGATTTCATCTTTGGTACTATAATGTAGTTCATATCAGAAAAATAAACCATTATGAAATTTTCCTTGGAAGTGAAGAAATACATTTTCATGAAAGAATATTAATTATTGGTTTGTGGATTTTAAAGAATCATTTATTGTGTTGGCAGTAAAAAATGAAAACAGACTTTCATGTTTGAGAAATGGTAATATAAGTTCTTTTGGAAAACTGTGATCATATATCAATTATAAGTTGGATGCTGGTGGCTCACATCTGTTATCCTAGCTACTCAGGATGCTGAGAACAGAGGGTCTTCATTCAAAGCCAGTCTGGGCAAGAGTCTCAGACTCATTTAAAAAATATATCACCTTTGTTAGCTGTTTTCAAATACATTTTGATTTTACAGACCTGGTCCCTGAGTAATTTTGGATTTCTACATGGATAGCCCATATGGCGGTAGATTTTCTGATGATTAGGACACATTTATTATTTTGACTTGATCATTGTCGCCTGTTCAAGTGAATTTGTACTGCAGCTGAATCCATGTACTTGTCAATAAACTATCTGCAATTTAGTTTTAATTAATTTAATTGCTAAATGCAAAGAACAGCAACATACTATTCAATTATATTAGTTAATATTTGGATACAAATGTAACTCAAGCCAGGCAGTGGTGAACACCCGTAATCCCAGCACTGAGAGGTTGAGATAGGAAAATCTTGAATTTGAGGCCAGTCTAGGCTACATAGTGAAACTTTTTCTCAAAAAAAAAAGTAAAACAAAATAATTCAAAGTAAGTATTCCATCTAAATTTTATGATGCAAATACAAATAATGGGGGTCAGCTAGATAAATACCTCATTAAAATTTTTTTGGTTATATAGATACAATGAAAGTAATCTTGTCCCTAAAGTTATGTAAAAATGTTTCAGTGATCCCATAAAAGATCTTCAAAGTGTTTTAAATGAATTCTGACTTACAATACAGAGAATATTAAATACAAATAAGATAATTATTTATTTATTTTATTGTAAAGATGCTGTACAGAGGGGTTACAGTTACATGAGTAAGGCAATGAGTACTTTTCTTATGGCGTATTGTTACCCTCTCCCTTATTAAAGGTATGGCACCCTCAATATGCCATAGTTAGTGGTTCATTAAAGAAGTCCAATTCATTATATCAGTGATGAATGGTTCATTCATACATATAGACAACTGATTCTGTATCTAAAAGCTCTGACATGAAAAGGATAGAGATGCCTGATGTCAGATATTTATTTTTAAAGCTTCCATTTCTTAAATTATGTGTAAAGTTGACAATAGCTGTGCACCCATTTCTGACTCCAAAGTTTACCTATGTTTCTACAGATGCCAGTCTACCTGCTTTCCTTTCAATCCCACATATATCCACATATAGCCTTTTTTATGGGACAACTGGACTCTCGTATTGATCACAAAGATTCTAACAATTCTGATGACCTGAGACTGAAATAGGGCTACAGAAGCATAACTTTAGCAGCTAAAACCATCATCTGTTACATCTGAAAAAGTAACTATAAAGAGCATTATTCCAATATGAAGAGACATGCTTATGTCAAGAAAAAGCTCTTCAGCAAGAAATACAAGCCCCATCTGGAGACTGATCTGAATATAATTTATAATCTGAGTCTTTTTTTGTGTTAACCTGTAAATATAAATTATAAGTACATATAAACAATTTTCTATTAGTCTGAGGTGGTCTTTGCTTAATGACCTTGCATTTCTTTTGTTGACCCCCAAACAAAACAAAAGAAAAGCACATTTCTTTGAATGGCTTCTTATCAAGTCTGAATATTCTGTTAAAGGATTCCAAGCACTGAACAAGTGTAATTAAGGAGTTCTGTAATAAGTGAACATGCATCACAATAAATCAGATTAACTCCTGCTTCATCCTTGGAGATGGTATATTTTCCACCACACTGGCAATTCAGTGAAGAAAAAACAACCTTTCATCTTCATTCCAAGATGTTTCTTCAGGATACACTGGATCATCTACTGGTGCCATATTTTGTAGCTCATTATCATCTGCTGCAGGTCATACTCTTCGTTTTTTGTCTCTTCATTCCCTAGAATTTTCCATGTCTGCTCAATTTCGGCAAGCTTCTGTATATATTCATCTGCCATTCCTGCTGGCACATCTGTACTCTGTTTTTCTAGATAGCACATTAATACGAGTTTTTGATGTTTTTGTTTTAGGTCAGCCATTTCAGCAGATGGATCTGCACCCTAAATACTGTACCAGTCCTTTTTTGGTGTCTGCTCAAATGCCATTATTCTTTGAACAAGAAGTGGCCTTCCCAGATCAGCAAACTTCACATCCTCAGGGAGACTCCACATGTCTGCCACCTATCAGAATTAGGAACAGGGTTCTTGGTGAGACTCTTATCTCCAATTAACCACCCCAAAATAAGAAGTGGAGCTGTGGTTCAAGTGGTAAAGCACTTCATGTTGAGCTCAGAGACAGTGTCCCAACCCTGAGTTCCAGCCCCAACAACAGCAGGCACACACAGCAAGACTGTCCAAAGTGCTGGTTCATGGATTATTTAGCTATAATTCTTTTCTTCTCAATTTTTTGTAGTATTCCAACATGTCAGTTTGTGAGTACAATGTGTCTTGATCACTGTTGCTATTTTCATCATTCCCCCATCTCTCACAACCTCACCGATCCCCTCAATTAACCTGTTACCATTTTTACATATATACATTGAATATGATGACTGCATTTATAACTATGATTCTTCTTAAATTGTATTTTTATTACTTTAAGTAATATTCAACACATGAGTTTATGAGTATAATGTATATTGATCAATGTCCTCCCCCTTCCATTATATTACCCTGTAACTGTAATTCTTTAGGAAAATTTTCTGAAACTCATCCTTTTATTTCAAGATATATTTTTCATGAAATAGAAACTATGCATTTGGTTTAACATGCTTTATCAATGAGGTCCATTTTTAGCTCGTGTACAGATCTACTATTTATTGGGTTAGAAGATTTGGATATACATAATACTATCCATGTATTATTCATAAATAAGTAATAAGCAATAGACAAGAAATCAATGCAAACTATCATTCCTTATGATATCAAAGCATCATCTAACTTCCTCCTCTTAATTTTGTAATTGTTGAATGATAGCCTCCACTTTAGAGGATACTCTGATCAAAATGACATCAGGAAAAAGCAGCATATTGTTTACAGAACTTGGAGGCTTTCCTAGTGCATGTAAAGCATATAAAGTAAGCCTAGTCTGTGGCACTCTGTGAACATGTTTGGTGATATAGACAGAGGTCCCAGCCTGGTCTCCTTGCATAAGAGGTTGGGGAAGCTGAGAGGACTTGGTGGCCAGGCAAGCTGGGCTCAGGGTCAAAGCCTTAGTCGAGTAGAAGTGGTCCCTCATGTAGCACCATTTTCCTTTTAAACTCTTGAGATTATCCTTACTTGAAAGCTACGAGTTGGGTAAGAATACAAGTAAAGAGTTGGTGGGCCCATGTAGCCCTTCCTTGGGGTATCTCTCTTAACAAAATATACAGAAAAGGAGAGAAGCCTGAATCAATCAGGTGCCATGCAGCTGGCAAACCACAACACAGATTTGGGTGATGTAGTTCAGCCATTGAAACTTGGCAGAAGACACGATGTATGGAATATAGCAAGCAGGTCAGTAATTGATAAAGGAGTGAATACACTTCTTTTAGAACCGTAATAATGTTTGTTTGTTGCTGCTGCTGCTGTTGTTTTGGTTGTGAGGCTTGAACTCTGGGCCTGGGTGGTGGCCCTGAGCTCTTCAGCTCAAGGCAAGTGCTCTACCACTTGAGCCACAGCACCACTGGAACAGTAATAATGTTAGGTGGCAAAGTCAACTTAACATTTAATGATACCAATAGGACTTTCTTTGTTTCATTTCTCTTTTGGCTTTCCTTCTTCCTACTTCTTTCTCCTTTCCCTTCTCATTCTTCTTCCTCTTCTCTGTCTCCTTCTCCTTGACTTCATTTCTCCACCAAGTCCTAATTGTGTGCCAATCCTGGGGTTTGAACTCAGTGCCTAGATGATTTTTTGCTCAAGGCTGGTGCTCTAGAGCTTGAGCCACAGCTTCACTTCCTACTTTTGTTAGTGGTTAATTGGAGATAAGAGTCGCAGGGACTTTTTCTTGCCTGGACTGGCTTCAAACCCCCATCCTCAGATCTCAGCCTCTTTAATAGCTAGGATTACAGGTGTGAGCCACTGACATCTAGCTTTGGAAAACTATTTTTTTTTTTTTTGGTCTGGTCATGGGGCCTGAACTCTGGGCCTGGGCGCTGTCCCTCAGCTCTTCAGCTCAAGGCTAGCATGCTACCACTTGAGTCACAGCGCCACTTCTGGCTTTTTTCTTTTTGCTGATGGGGTGCTGAGGAATCGAACCCAGAGCCTCATGCACGCAAGGCAAGCGCTCTACCACTGAGCCACCTTCCCAGCCCCTGGAAAACTATTTTTTTAATTGTACAATGATGAATGCTCTTCATAAATAATAAGTAATGAATTGGTAGAGTGAAGATGTGGTAGATTTTTTTAACAAAACAGTAGATTAAACAAAACTAAATTTGTTTAAAATTGATTATAATTTTCCTGTCTCATTATCAGTACTCTTTCTAGAGTACATCGGCAGATATTACGAGTTGAATTTTAGGCCTATACAAATAGTATACTAAACTTCTAGAGTTAGTCTCTAAAAATGTGGTCATGTTTGTACATAGAGTTGTTATAGTTGAAATAAGGGCATACTGAAGTGCAATGGGACCTTAGTGCATGCATACACAGACATACACACACACACACACACACACACACACGGTGATTCTGATAGAGAATGCCATGTG